TAGAGCTAAACTCTTCAGGAAAGTGGATCTCGTGGGCCAGATTTGAGGATCCCTGCTATAGACTGTACATGGTACATAAACTACCATAATGGTGTAAAACACTGGGTTTTTAAAGTTCCACTTTACCTTCTTTGTAAATTTGGGCGTCTTTATCTCAACAAATGCAGCACTCACGGCTTTCAGATAACTGCGTTGGTTGTTAAAGGTTACACGTCCAGATCCTAGGAGAGGAGAGGAGGAGAAAAACCCCAGTAAAATCACAGTAACATTAGTAATTAAACTTGATTTAACCAAAAAAACAAATACAATTTTATTTATTCTCACCAATGGGGTACTTGTGCTTGTCTGTGTCGATGCCCGCATACACAACACCTCCGAACAGATCATTCATGATGCTGGCCAGGGCCTCAGCATTGAGCATGCCATGCAGAGCTCCTACAAACACAGTGTTCCTAGGGTCCAGCCTCTGAGAGGGGCAACTCACATAGTTGCTGTCTGAAATCACCCAAGGGATTACCTGTGCCTGAGTAAGTAAATAAATGGACAGCATTTCTCAGACATCATGATTAGAGAACACATTTTTACCACCTACAAATTACACATGCAGATTTTTGAAGCAGGTCAACAGGCACCCACACAGAGGTTGTAATCATCATTTTTGTATAGTCCATTACTAAAATCTACCATTAAGGTCCATCTTACATCTTTGCAGCGCATCCTTCTGCTGGACATTTTGAAGTAATACTCGCTGTAGCCCTCAGGATGAAGCAGGTCCTCAGTGCAGTCCTGCAGCAGGGCACGCACGGACTTGTCAGATTCAAACACCAAATACACATAACCTAGAGAAAAAAATATAAATAAAGTCACAAGGCCGAAGGGTTACACAACTCAACTCTTACTGCCATTTCCCCAACTATAGACTGCACAACAACCAACAAACTTGGGTATGAACATCTTGCAGTGTGTGAGTGAGTGAGAGAGAGGGGTGGGGGGGCCAAAAACTTAATTCAAGCAAAATACCACCACGTGTATAAAAAAAAAAAAAAAAAAAAAAAAGTTTTTGTAGTCAAATTGAGTGCCATGAACCCGCACCATCCCGCCACGGAGTGCTGTAGTAAAATAAGTTTCCTACCCTTTCAGCATTACCTTTGGGCATATTACCTTTCGGAGGGCAGCGAGGGTGCTTGCCATCCTTACCTGGCCACTCCACGCTCAGAGGGCCATAGCATTTAAAAGTGTTTATCAAACCAGCTGGTGACAAAAAAAGGGAAAGAAAGGCCATTAGGTCTAGAAGCAAACAGGGCTATGGCACAGCTATAATACCTCTAAAAGTTTGGGATTAGTAAGAGTTAAGTTCTTGAAGTCTGTTATTCCTGTGATTGCAAAGCTGAATTTTTTTTTTTAGCCATTACTCCAGTCACATGATCCATCAGAAATAATTTGCTGCTTAAAGACACATTACCAACATTGAAGACAGCTGTGCCGAATATTTTGTGGAAATCAGAATACATTAAGACTCCGAATAGAAAGTTCAAAAGAATATTAAAATAAAAAATTTAAATATGGAAATCTTGTGTAACTACTGTCACTTGGTGAATTTAAGAAAAAAAAAGTTAGCTTCTTAATCTTAGACCAGATTTTTAAACGGTAGTGTAAATTAGAATCAAATAAACAGCGCACAGTGTACACAGTAAAATGTGGAAAATGGCAAATGACAATAGTGCCAATTAGCATTTTTACCCCATTCAAAAATTTTTTTTTTTTAAAAAAAAAACAAAAAACAGGAGACTGGATGCCACACATCAAATGGGATTAGACACGAGTCATAGCACACCATACTAAAGATTTAAATCAAGTTGGTCACTTGAAATTTCAATATTTCTCTTCAATTAG